AATAGTAAAAAATGGCTATTCCAAGCAATATATTTTATTGGTGAACTCCCTTTATGCTCTTAGCTTCCTGCAGTCTCCGTGGAATTACTCATTCTTTCTCAGGGAGAATTACTCCTTATGACGTAACTATTATTTTTTGCTCGATTCACATTTCTAATCTATGGCTACCTTTTCAGACTGACCTAATTTTGTAGTCTTTGATATCATTTTCACTTTGACTCAACTAAATAGGAAAATGCAGTGTAAATTTACTACAAATGACATCAGCAGGCACACATGAAGAAATAATCCATTCTAAGATTCCTCCTAATATTCAGAATTTATTGGTTCTTTTAAATCTTAGAATTTCTTTTAATGCTCCACTTTCATTCTTAACATCATCAGTAGCAGGTTTAGTCTACAAGAGAACAAAAAGGTAATTACCATAAGACAAGGCTATCATCTCTGACATTTTATAGTGAATTCATCATTAGTATAGGCAAGTAAGCGAATGAAATCCAAGACTGCATTACAGATGTATCATTTCTCACAATAATTGATGTGGATTCCTTTAGCAGGAAAAAAAGAAACACCTTTTTACAGCAGCTTCAATCATACTCAGCTGGTTGCCAACTATTAGCATTTTCATCTGGAGATTGCAGAGGGTGTTCTGCACTAAAATCCTGAAAAGATCAAAACTCGCTGAATAAATTTATACTCTTAGTTCCTTCAAGTTGCAGCCTTTATGGAGAATATGAGCTGGAAGTGTTCATAGGAATTCCTATTAAAAGTCTAATTCCTCTTCATGGAAATGCTCGATTTCAATTTCATGCATTCTTTAAAAAACTAGAACTTTACTGTGTGAAATGCAAATAATAAAATCAAATGTATAATCTGTAAGCAAGATGAACTGAGGCATGCAAGAGCTTAGGTATTCTTCGGTAGATACTTGAAATGTTCATGAGAGATCACAGTGTTCCATCAGACATAGGCATTTTACTCCAATGCACACTACTATTGACCTTTCATGAAATAATCACTGCCACTACAACAAAGGATCTCACAGGTTGAAAGATGAGAATGAAAGAAGAGGATGAGAGTTTTCTATTCTGAACACTTTTAAATGGTATTGCCTTACTCATACTTCTGTTCTCAAACACAGCAGGTTATTTTAATAAACAGTATTTTCTGACTTTGAGGAATCAGACAGCTAAAGCTAACCAGTGGAATAAAGTGACATAATCAAGATGCAATTGAAGAAATTAAACTGAAAATCAGTAAACAGGTTTTTTTCATTCCATATGGTGACCATAGATATTTTCTATCACCATGAAACTGTTGAATGGAGAGGAGCCATTTAAATATTGCATAAAGATTTTATGTCTTACAATTTTATGACTACCATTCTAGTGAAATGTCTTCAGTATTTCTGTATTTTCTAGGAAAGCAGTCTGGTTTCAAGACAGCATGCAGGTCTTTGTAGGAAGTTAAACATTGTAAGTTGTAACTCACCAATTTGTTCATGATAAAAAGAGATATTGACAGGGATTCTTCAATTTCTTATAACACAACAGGTGGAAGAAATTAGATTAATATCAACAAAGCATGTTCTTTCATGACTATTTATTTCCCATAAATAGAGTAAGCAACTAGAAATGTATTTCAACCATCCCTCAGGTAGACAAGCCATTAATAATGTGTTTTTCTAAAAGTGCAATTCTTGATTAATTTAAATGAAGCAGGGATAGTTTTTAGCATTTCACTGAAGCTCAACTGCTGAAGGAGGTAACTGAAAATGAGCTGCAGCTTTCACCTTTACCAAAGGAAAATAGATACTCTGTTTGTTCCTAGGAATGTGAGATCAGATTAAATATTCACGCAGCTCCTTGTATACAAATTCTGCAGTTCTTCAATTTCAGATGAACTGAAAACTCATAATTTTTAACATTACCAAGGTCAACAACACAAGAAGAAAAAATATATGTAAGTATATATATTTTGTATGTATGCAAGTGCAGTACTCTGTATTTTAGGAATTTGATATTTTTATTTTAATTGTGCTCTCTTGGTTACTCTGTACTTAACAGAACTGCATTAGTCAATACTGAAAGAATAATCCAGTGCCTTTTTGTGTCCTTTTTACCATTGAAAGGCCTGTGGTAGGCAGCTACACTTCCAAAGCGAATTTTTGACTGTAGTTTGTCTTTGAGACAACCTGGTCTATGCACTTGTTACAACAAGTTAGTGTGGTGTTCTTTTGTCAGAAATCTGTATAGCTGGGGACACTGTGTTATTCTAGGTTGTTTCTCTGTCTGTGGACAAATAAACTCTCCTACATTACACTGTACTTCTAGAAAGTCACTGCTGCTAGTCCATCTTTGACTGCATGTCTTGATGTACGTTTGATATCATCCTTCAGAAAACCTACTCCCTAATATGAAATGAATTTTTGTAATTTAACATTTAAACCACAAATAAACCACTGGTTTAGACTGATGGACAAGTAATTTGTCTTGCCAAACACAGAGTTTACATCTCACCTCCACTTGAAATGCGTGGATCACAAAAGAACTCCAGACAGGGGCAATAACTGCAAACAAGAAATTTTAAAGACTGTAGGAGAGTCTGAAAAGAATTCTCAAAATAGAATCAATAACACTGAAGGTTTCAAAATATATATTTATATTGGAATACACATATAATCTTTATATAGCTTTTAAAATTGTTTTGGTAATGACTGAAAATCAGAAGGAGAGAAAATGAACTGTAAAGATGATTTACCTGTAAAAGATATAATCCTGAAAAACCTTCTCACCTGGGTATGATTTAATTCTGCTCTAGCACTGCTAATCTCATACACGTTATAAAAATTATTTTCACCTGAGCAGTAGCCCTGAGGACACAGGTCTACAAAATCATTAATGACGTAAAAAGGACACTCAGCTTAAGAACTAAAGAGCAGCAGATAAGCATAGCAAGTTCAAAAAAGTAAATAAAATGAGTTTTTCATTCAATGTGCATTTAGGATGAGAAGCTCTTCACCATCTTTGCCAAGTACATCAGGAACATAGAATCATAGAATAGTTAGGTTTGGAAAGGACCTTAAGATCATCAAGTTCCAATCCCCCTGCCATGGGCAGGGACACCTCTCTCTAAACCATATCACCCAAGGCCTCGTCCAACCTGGTCTTGAGCACTGCCAGGGATGGAGCATTCACAAGCTCCCTGGGCAACCTATTCCAGTGCCTCACCACCCTAACAGGAAAGAATTTCCTCCTTATATCCAATCTAAACTTCCCGTTTAAGTTTTAACCCATTACCCCTTGTCCTATCACTACAGTCCCTAATAAAGAGTCCATCCCCAGCATCCCTAAATGAAGCTGATAAGGACTACAGGGATACAGAGGTCCATTTGAACTGTACTAAAAGTGTTCTAAAAAAACCCACAAAATCTATCCAAGAAAACCTCTGAGTTGCAAAGCTTATTAAGCTGGGACAAAACAAGGGCCATGACCAGAAATGCTTGTTCTGGTCTTCTGCTCTGAGGCAACCATTGCAGTACCCTCCAGTCACCTGACCAGGTGGACTTTCTGTCTCACCTGTTAAGGCCATTTGCTTATGTGAGCAACAACCCACAAAAGCAGCTTTATCAACTATATAGTGCATGAATGGCACTGTGTTTGTGCCTCTGCTTGCCACAGAAGTCATATAGGATAAACACAATTTGGCCCTAATAATGCTAATTGCAGTATCATTGCTAGTAGAAATGTGGGTACACCTCCCTCTGATATCATTAAATTGATCTAAATTTTAATTGTTCTCATTATTAAATAAGATGTTGATGTAGCTCATTATGCAATTTATTAATTATTTTATCCCTTATTTAATGAGCATTTCTACTAACTGAGACAATTATGCACTGTATCATAGAAGTTGCAAAAAGAAGTTCAAGAGCAATTAAAAGAGACTGCAGGGCCTTGGGATCTCTGGTTAACGGATCAGAAGCACAAGTAGAGTTGTGCTCTCTTTCCAGTTGTAGCGAATGATAAGGAAGAAAGAGCATGACTCAGCAGATCAATACCTGGGGGAAAGCCTGGTGTCACTGGCAGAACTTGGGGGTTTTGATCATGGTTTGGTGTGCATAACACCAGGCCTTCTGTTGAAAGATAGAACCTCTCCTTCACGGAAGGAAATTTAAACTAAGTTGAAGGAGTAAAGGGATAAAACCAGGTTCATAACAGATAATCCTGGGGGTGACATGCCAGTGTTTGAGGGATAGCGCACTAGGGAGATCCTTAGTCTCAATTGAGGTAGAGGTGATCCATGCAACAGCAGAGTCATTGATGTGTTAGAAACCATGGAAGCACCTGAGAACGGTCATGTAGGAAGTAGCACTTCTCCCCCCAGAAAGGTGGTGGGATCAATAGCCCAACTGAAGTGCACCTACACCAATGCATGGGCAACAAACAGGAGGAGCTGGAAGCTATTGTGCAGAAAAAGCAGGAAAGCTATGACACAGTTGCCATCACAGAAACATGGTGAGGTGACTCACACAACTGGTGTGCTGCAATGGATGGCTATAAACTCTTCAGAAGGGACAAGCAAGGAAGGAGAGGTGAGATAGTCCAGTCTGTTAAGAAGTGTTTTGATTGTCTAGAGCTTGACAATGGTGATGAAAGGGTTGAGTGTTTAGGGGTAGAGATCAGGGGAAAAGCCAAAAGAGCAGATATCATGAGAGTCTGTTATAGACCACCCAGCCAGGATGAAGAAACAGATGAAATATTGTATCAACAGTTGGGGGAAGCCTCACAATTGCTAAAGCTTATTCTCACCGGGGAGGCTCCAACTTACAAAATGTCTGTCAGAAATATGACACAGTGGACAGGAAACAGCCTAGGAGGTTCCTAGCGTGTGTGGAAGATAACTTCCTGTCACAGCTGGTGAGAAAGCCAGCTGTCACCAGGGAAGGTGCCCTGCTGGACCTGTTGTTTGTAAGCAGAGAAGGACTTGTGAGTGATGCGATGTTTGGAGGCTGTCTTGCACACAATCATGAAATGATGGAGTTTTTAGTTCTTGGAGATGTAAGGAGGTTAGCCAGCAGAACTGCTACCTCAGACTTTTGCAGGGAAGACTTGGCTTGTTTAGGATACTGGTTAGCAGAGCCCATTGGAAGGCAGTCCTGAAGGGCAAAGGATTCCAGGAACGCTGGACATCCTTCAAGAAAGAAATCTTGAAGATGCAAGAGCAGACCATCCCCATCTGCTGAAAAATGAGCTCATCATTAAGAAGACTGGCCTAGCTAAACAGAGATCTTCAGCTGGAATTGAGGAAAAAAAGTGCTTATGACCTTTGGAAGAAGAGGCTAGCAACTCAGGGGGACTACGAGATGTTGTGAGGTTATGCACGGAGAAAATGAGAAGGCCCAAAGCCCAGATAGAATTAATTTGGCTACTGCCAAGAAAAGAAGATTTAAACTGTTTCTATATAAATATATTCCAACAAAAGGAGGGCTAAGGAGAATCTCCATCTTTTATTGGATGTGGCGAGGGAAACAAAGATAAGGAAAAGGTTGAGGTAATTAATCCATTATTTGATTCAGTCTTTAATAGTAAGATGAGTTGTTTCCTGGATACCAGCCCCCTGAGCTGGAAGATGGAGATGAGGAGCAGAATGAAGCCCCCATAACCCACAAAGAAATTATTAGCAACCTGCTGCACCACTTTGACACACACACAAGTCTATGGGGCAGATGGGATTCATCAAAGGGTACTGAGGGAGCTGGTGGAAGTGCTCACAGAGCCACTTTTAATAATTTTAAGCAATCCCATTTACTAGTGCATTTATGAAAGGCAGGTCCTGCTTGACTTATCTAATGCCCTTCTATAACAAGGTGACCCGCTTAGTGGATGACGGAGAGGCTGTGGACGTTGTTTACCTGGAGTTTAGTAAAACCTTCAAAGCTTTTCCCATAGCAGTCTCCTGGAGAAACTGCTCACAGCTTGAAGAGGTGTATTCTTCACTAGATAAAAACATGGCTGGATTGCAAGGCACAGAGAATTGTGGTTAATGGAATTAAATCCAGTTGGTGGCCACTCACAAGTCCCCAGGTTTCAGTATTAGGCCAGTTCTGTTTAATATCTTTGTCAATGATATGGATGAGTACATCAAGTGCACCAACAGTCAGTTTTCAGATGACACAAAGTTAGCTGAAGTGTTGATCTGCTTGAGGGTAGGAAGGATCTGCAGAGGGATCTGGACAGGCTGGATTGAAGGGCTAAGGCCAACTATATGAGGTCACAACAATCACACTTGGGTCACAAAAACCCCCTGCAATGCTCCAGGTTTGTGGAAGAGTGGCTGGAAAGATGCTTGGCAGAAAAAGACCTGGGGAGTGCTGATTGACGGAGCTGAACATGAGCCAGCTTGTGCCCCAGGTGGTCAAGAAGGCCAGCAGCATCCTGGCCTGTATCAGCAATAGTGTGGCCAGCAGGACCAGGGCAGTGATCATACCCCTGCACTGGGCACTGGTGAGGTCACACCTCAAATCCTGTGTTCAGTTCTGGGCCCCTCACTACAAGAGGGACATGGACACCTCCTTAGAAGACAAAGTTGTTGTCTATAATATATAAGAATGTGTTGATTATAATTTAGAAGCCAGAATAGTATTTAAAAACCTGTCTGCGGGATTTTTAGAATGTTTTTCTCTCTTGTGTCATATTTTATTTCGAATAACCTTGTCACAAGTTAAACAGCTTGTCTTAACATTTATGTTATAATAACACAGAAGTAACAACCCACCATGCTAAACAAAGGAGGGATTAGTAAGACTGGAAGGTAGCCTAAGCATCTGAAATTGCTGATACATTCCTGTTAGCCTATTATTTTCTTCTCAGTGTCTTTTCCCAAGATACACAGATGACACTGAGCTTATAGATTCTGTGTGTCACTAAAAAAGCTATGCATCTATAGAACACCATAGTTATATTTTCCATCTTCAAATGAGGTCAAAGGTGGTTTTGCTCTCTCATTTGAATAAATTCAGAAATATTACCCAAAGTCAATTTTTACTTTCCAACTATTTTAAACTTATTGCACAAAAATATTCACTTGAAATTTAAAGCATCACTAAAAATAACTGTATACGGAACTACATTGCACTGTGAACATGAAAGCTGATAAACTTGAGCAGCATCGTGAAAAATATAAAAATGGGAGTGTCAGCTGGAGGCAAACTAATCCTGTGGCGCACAGATGCATTTTCAAGTTAACAATAATCCAGAAATACATAAAGAAAAAATAATAATAAAAATATGTGCTAAGGAATAAGGACCTCAAAAATTTACCTCATGGCAATGAGAATAATGATCACAAATAAATATTTGAGGACTCATGTTCTGAAATGCTATTGACTGTTATCCTAGGATTTAATATCAGAAATTAAACCAATCTTTCTACAAGAAAGACAAGGAAAACAGAATGCTATTGTATCTTGAGGGATATCATCACCCTCATCAGTCACTTTTATGGAAAATCTATTTCAACTTCAAAAAATATATTTTTTTCCTAAGATATTAGACCACAGTATTGTGCTAAAAGTCTTTGAGTTTTTCTTTGAAAATTTAATGTCACATGAATTTCAAAATTTTATAATCCTTCCTAGAAATATAAAAAGCGACCATACATATAAGGAACTCCACTAGGTAAATTATTTCTTTACTGAAAGAGAGATTTGTTACTGACATTGCTAAGACTCAAATAAATAAGCCTAAAGAGAAGCATTACCTTAACTGGCTGTTCTCTTCCAAAGTCTTCCAAACTGTCATGTAACTCTGAGTAATTTCTTTATAAATGTCTACTTCTAGACCTCCAAAACTATATGCAATCTGTAAAATTATAATTACTATAGTGACATTATGTGTTCGTGCCTTTGGTAAGCTGATGAAGGTCGCATAGAGCCAGTGCAATTTTCAGCTACTACTACTGAGTGGCCAGTAAAGTTCTCTTTACAATGATACAGTATTAAATATCTTTACGTCTGCGGACCAGAATATTTGCTGTATCTGTCTGGGGTTTTAATACATCAGAAGGGCATATACACTCACAGCAAGCTGTCTATAACAACACTCTGATTCTTCAAATGTGCTCTGGAGCAGAGGAAAGAACAGCCATCTATAAACACAGCAGTTGGCCAGTGATTAAGTTATTAATCCCATATTAGAGATGGAAAAGCCAAGACACCCAGAGGGGAAACTACTTTTGTCCCAGATCACACAGCAAGACAGTGACAAAACTGAGGACAAATAACAGATAGGAGGCATCATAGTGATTTCTGAACCTGTCCTTCATTTCCCAGACTCTATTACTTCTCTGTGTTAGAGTACTTCTGAGGGAAAAAAGCAACAATACCAACCATTTCAGGCTGCAATGACTAAAAGAGAGATAAGTTACAACAGTATCACAGTATCACACAGTATCACAGTATGTTAGAGATTGGAAGGGACCTCAAAAGATCATCTACTCCAATCCCCCTGCCGAAGCAGGAACACCTAGATAAGGTTACACAGGAATGTGTCCAGGCGGGTCTTGAATGTCTCCAGAGGAGACTCCACAACCTCCCTGGGCAGCCTGTTCCAGTGTTCCGTTACCCTCACTGAGAAGAAGTTTATTCTCAAGTTTAAGTGGAAACTCTTGTGTTCCAGTTTGTACCCATTGCCCCTTGTCCTATCATTGTTTGCCACTGACAAGAGCCTGGCTCGAACCTCGTGACACTCCCCCTTTATATATTTATATACACTAATAAGTTCACCCCTCAGCCTCCTCTTCTCCAAACTATAGAGACCCAGCTCCCTCAGTCTTTCCTCATAAGGGAGATGCTCCACTCCCTTAATCATCTTAGTTGCCCTGCGCTGGACTCTCTCCAGCAGGTCCCTGTCCTTCTTAAAATGAGGGGCCCAGAACTGGACACAATATTCCAGATGAGGTCTCACCAGGGCAGAGTAGGGGTCAGATGGAGGAAGAACGAACTACATTTCAAAGCAGAATAGTAAAAAGGGAGTTAATCATGAGGAAGACTCAAGTACTTTCTTGTACTCTTAGGCATCAACACCTGAAGAGCTCCCACAGATGAAATCTAAAATTATCAAAGATGGCAAGAAAGAGCTTCAGTTCCGACAGGCTCCAGCTCAAAGTGAAACAGTGTTGGTGTCCCATGCCACTGGCAATTCTGATGCTCCTTCAGAGCCTGGAAGTAAAAATGGTCATAGGACAACTGCAGAACCCTTTCAGAGGGGTCATCCACTATCAAAGCAAGAGACTGACCATTTGGATGAAGAACTAGATCTTCTCCTGAATCTAGATGCCCCCATTGATAAAGAAAACAGATCCGTGTCAGAAGCATTATCCTACAACGTATCGACTGAGAAAAATCTGAAAATGGATTGTAAGGAAAAAGGTAAGATATCTTTTCTCCTCAGCATGCCCTTACTTAATTTCCATTGCTCTCTCTTTTGGATGTTTTGAATTTGTGATTGGCCAAAGTACTGCTGTCATCATCTCTGTCATACTGCATTTACCTGAGGATATGTTCTGACACATTTGTTTCTTTTGAATTCTATCTCTCCACTAAAGTTCCTTCTGCAGAGCAGCACTGGTCTTGTGAATCAGAAAAATTTAAAATAAAAAAAAAACAAAAATAAAGCACTACTAGAGAATTTTAATGAGAGGATGGTAAAGCTTTTTTGTAACATTATCGGCCCTTGGTTCACTGCGCTGCTAGCATACAGAAGAATTGACAGCTATTTCTGATGGCTTGTTATAAATGCTCTTTTCAAACTGTACTAGCATCGATTTTATAAAATTGTTTAGTATGGAAACAAAACATATGCAAAAGTTTCAATTTCAGAAAAATCAGCAACCCCTTTCTTTTGTTTGGATTGTTGGAAGCTATACTGCTGTTTGTTTTGATGGAGGTGGTTTACTACTCATCCCCAGTCCACCATGCTTTAAAAGAATCTTTAGCATCTTTGATTTTTTGTGTGTGATATTCTTGCTATCTTAAAATTAAGTCCAAGATGGCTGAACATGTAGGATATATAGCAAGCGCTGTTACTGAAAACATTAAAAAAGCAAAATTATCTGGGATGAAGAGCTGGTATGGAATTGCTTCCAGATTTTAAAGTGTGTTCTTTTCACTTTTTAGACCCTTTAAAACTAGATATGGCTGAAGAGAAGAGTACAGCATCACAGCAACAGCAAAGTACATCTAAAACTGTTACTGAGGAAGAGCTTGAAGAGTGGCTGGACAGCATGATTTCCTGAAGCTCAGATTTTCTTCTGTGAATAACTGAATATAGCAAACATTAGGTAGAAAGTTGAATCTTCTTTGATCTCCTTGTTATTTCCTTTATGTTTCGCTTTTTTTTTTTTTTTTCAGTCTGCCAAAGGTCCAGCTTTCTTTGCTGGTACCTTAAGTTCTGTGCAACCAAAATTAATCTAGATGTGATTGGAAATTGTGTAATATTCTTAGAAGGGTCTAAAATTTGTGATGAAATTAGGATTTGCTAAAGAGACAGGCTACGG